GTTTTGCATATCCCCCCATACTTTTATAACTGTAAACTTTGTCAAAAATATCTTGGCTACTCCTTTATATTTTATTATCGAAGTAGAAATCGTAGATCTTGAGATAGTGATAATTATGTAACCTATAAAAATGATGAGGAAGCTATACTAGCCCTAATCTGCAGATTTTTTTTTTTTTCAATTTATTACAAACCTCTTGTAAAATGGGCTTTTCCGTTTAACGGATCTGCTCTATCGAAAATGAACATATTCAGTGACTTTTTGGACTTTTTGGTGAATATTTCATAAAATACACTTATTTTTCCTTTCTATCTTTCTGGGATAGTTATTAATTGTTTGAGCACCATTGCTTATTAAAAAAAATATATATTTTTTTCTCAAATTGTACAAATATTTTGAGTATATGAGAGACGTGTTGCCAAAGTTTAAATTCAAATGTTACTGTTTTAATTAACTAGGCAGAGTATTTTAATTTGTTTCTTGTATGACTTGGTATTAGCTCTCCCCAAGCTTGTCATCATCACTAATGATATGATGACGGTGAGCGACCGTGTGCTCTGATAATGATAGCATCTTATTAATGACTCGGAACACTCTCTCCAGTAATGATGACCCACAAAAAATCTTGTTTCTTAGCATTTCATTTCAACCGTGATTGCTGTATGTGCTATGATTTACAAATAAACACGAATAGACTTTATTCAATATAGGATTTATAATAAATACATGTATTTGAAAGAAAAAAAATCCTGCGAATTATTTCACAATCGTTTATTATTTATTATTAAGTGTATACTTTTTGAATTGTTTTCGGAAATCTAATTTTACTACCTCTCGTAACTTTTTTTGCAGCTTCTTTTCCTTTAAGTATGTTAAATAGATAAATTTAAAGGTGACTTTAGCCAAGTTTCATTGAAATCGGTATATTCGTTTAAGCGCTACAGTCTATAGCAACACATGTTTTTCGGCCGCCATCTTGAAAGAAAAAGGCGGATAGTAATGTCGATGTAAGAGGATCATCCTCGAGTGACTTCTGACTTTATATCAAAATTTGAAAAAAAAACGTTCCAGTAAGTTCAGAGAAAATGCGCTAACGGCGGACGGACGGTCGCACATTGGGATGAGTTAGAGAAAACTCGTGACATCTATTTGAATCTGGCAAAATCTTTTTTTTTTTTTAGAATTCCAAAAACTGTTTTATTGTTGGCGGATTTTCCGAGAGTATTTTTAGTTGGCACAATACACATTATTCACTGTTTTTATTGAATATATTAATTTAAAAAAAAAATGATTTAACCGATGTCGCGAGTTTTCCCTTACTCGTCCCACTGTGTGGAGGGGGGAGGGGTGTCCGATCGAGCTAACGTGTGTGCTACCTGATAACCGAAGTTGGAGACAATATAAAAAAGAGGAGTTCGCGTCCTGGTGCCCATGGGGTATTTTAACTCTGACATTAATCCCCCGCCCTCACCCTCCAGCCCGGAAAAAGCCCCATATAGCCTAGAAAAAAAAAAAAAGACGGCGTACTGACAAAAAATCCTTAATTCGTTTTTCGAAATGTACATATCATGAAACTTAAAACCTCCACTTTTGAGGGGGATTAAGTTTTTAAATTTTTTGGTTGGTTACAATGAATCATCATTGAAAATATTAAACCAAAAAAGATTGATTAATTGTTTAGAAATTCTTTAATCAAACAGATTTAAACAGTCTGAATGTCATTTCTACATGAATACAAAAAATAAATTGCAAGTATTTGTTTATACGCATTTCACTGCATACTTTTATAGATAAATGTGGTTCGAAATAAACAAAAACGTTCTTAAAAGTTCAGCTTCATCAACAATGTATTTAGTGACTTTTCAATGAATCGATGATATACAATATAAAATTTTTGTTCATAAGACATTTATAAATTTAAATGTACAAACAGTCTAGACATTATGAAGAAAGAACCTTCGAGACAAATAAATATATGTATTAGTCTTTTTAAAAAAAAAAAATTATTCTAAAATTTCTCAAGTAGATTTCGACAGTGTAAAGAGTAAATCATCATAAATATGAAAAAAAAATTATATTCACTTTCATAAATATTGTAAATGAAAGAGATAGTTAAAATGAAATGAATATATGTCTGTATTATTCTGAGACGAATATTTTATTTACGAAAATTCTCGGAATTGAGGTGATTACAATCTGGAGATCTGTGAACTTTGTATAAGGTAATAAAAACTCAGGAGTATCCAATTGCTTTCCACTGGAATGGCAAGATAATAAAAAAAGGTGTCCACAAAAATATTGGGCCGTTTGGTCTATATGACCTCGTTATTTTGACATGTTGGAAGCAGAGATCACGCCAAACGGGCCAATATTTTCTAAGCCACCTTTTTTTTCCACTTGATCAAATTATCTTACCATTCAATCGGAAAGCAAATGGGTATTCATAAGCTTATAGTACCTAATTAAATAGACAAAGTTTGACAAATCTGCAGATTGAAAACGTTCCAATTCCGAGAATTTTCGTAAATAAAATATTTGTAGGTTAGGATGAAATGAAGCTATTACGAAGTTTTAGGCGGTTGTTAAAAGTTTGATAAGCATTGGGCCTACACCACGGATTACAAGTCTTTAATCTATTATAGCCTTTTGGCAAAATTTGTCTATTATTTAATAGTATATTTCAATTAATAAAAACGTTCTGTATCTGCTATCAGGTGAACCTAATATAAAATTAGGTCACTGTTTATGACTTAGCATCTAATATGACAAATATTAAATTAGGATGGTTGGATGAAAGTTAAGTTTTCATTTAACATCCATGAATAATACATACCACTTCTTATTTGGAATTTTTATTTTTTTGCCTTCATATGATTAGTTGTCTTGGTAATTTCTATATCTTTTTATAGAATCTGATAAATTATACTATTTCCCAGGAATGTTATCATGATTGCTTGATGACTGAGCCTGTGATAGAAAAGAGAGGAAAATCTTTTTCCAGGCATTCGTGCCCCGCTCTAATAAACCTTATGCGGGTGAAGGTTGGAAAATAATGGAGACTGAAAGAATCATTAAGACAATTAACTGCCCCATGTAATAGAATATGATAAGACAAAAAATATGCGATCGAGTCACGTGATGATGCCTAGGGTACACAGGATCTGTTCTGTGGACAGTTGGTGTAGAAGGAAGGAGGACTTGTTTATTTTACTTTCCAATACATGCTTGCAATTTTTTGTATTTTCGTTTTATTTCTTTCGCATATATTTAGAATAAATTAATTATGATCATTCAAAATTTATTTGTACCTACTAAGAGCTTTTTTTTTTATTTTTCAGGTGAGTACTTCTGTTGGACGTTAAAAAAATTACTTTGTAAGTTTAACATTATTCAATCGATGTTTTCTTCATTTTTTTAACGATAATATTCAATATTTCTTGAAATATGTGTAAATATCAGCTGGTATTGGGCAGAAGGTTATATTTTTGGTTACATGTTGTTGTTTTTGTTAATGTACAAATAATAACGAGTAATTTAATTAATTCTTACAGGTTTGTTTTGTTTTATTTATATTGTTCTTATTTTGTTATCTAATACCATTGTAATTCTTACAGATTAATAAAATCAGTTGTTACTAAACCAAATTAAAAATTAAATTATACGTTATTATTTATGCGTTAACAAACACAACTTGTAACCAACAATATAACCTTCTGTCCAGTACAAGCTGGTATTTGAATGTGCTCCTTACTTAAAATGTCTGAAAGCTGACCAAAATGACTTCTCATGTCCTTGGAATTTATATTATATTTAATCTTATATTGTATATGTTGAAATTATACGATATTTTTGTATTAGTTTTAAAGATTGCCCTTTGTATCGATTGATACATTGTGTCTGCCCAATGTAAAAAGGGCAGTACCCTTTTATGAAAATAAAATGTTTCTCTATGTGATAATGTATATATTTCTCTATTATTTTTTAAATAATGTTGATTTATATTTTTTTATTTTTTTTTCAAACTTATTTATTGAAAAATCTGTAACAATTATATCAACCATCTGTAACAATTAAGGACACTTATAATAGTGTTCAGGGAGCACATTCACACTCCATTTACAATAATTAATATAATATTTATATTAGTGATATTAAAAGAGATTATAAAATTGTAGTAGATTTTATTACCGAATATGACGAAAGAAAGTGCCATATGGCGTCCTTGCAAAGAGAAAAGGAGCTATTTCAGTTTTGGTGTGTAACGTGTTACGCAATTTCCTCTCAAGAGTGGGACATCCGTCTCGATTGTGTTTGGTTAAATCTGTATTTTATCTATAAAAGATTTTTTTTTTTTCTGAATGACATTATCTATGTCTATACTATTCGACAAAAATTAAATCAAGTGGTTGTACCGCAATACTAATCTCATGCAAGAATAATTCCAGCCTTGAATGTGGCATCTATATCACACTATATCACTCATACTGAAGGATCTACAGAGGATGTTTAAAGACTGGATTGTATAATCATAATTACACAAATCATTCTTTAAACAATAATAATTATTATGGGTTATAAATATTCAGGACGCAGTCATTATATTTTATATATTTACATGTGGTTCATCACCAGGGCGTGTTTCGATCACTGAAGGTATTCATGTACTGGCTAACTTCATCTAATAATAATTATTGTGATATATAAAATTATTATGGTGATATATATATATATATTGATAATTATTATTTTTTCTACTCTTAACTTTTATATTTAAGTATTTTTTATTTAACTGAAATATTTATCTATTGATGTTTTCTATTCATTAATACTTTAATATCAGAAATAGGACCTTACTCACAATGCTACTTCTTCCTCAAAGAAACCCTATAAGAAAAATTATTCCTGAATTTAACCCACAGTGCTCATATAAAAACCATGAAATAATTACCAAAAATATCAGTTCAAGCAGGACTGGATAATGAAAAAGTCCATAACTTCACTCATGGGATTGTGAACCTGTATTCTACTGGGTAACAATATTTCTTGACCTAAAAAATAAAATCAAAATCCTATAAATAATAATAATAAACATATAAATAGATAACGAACAACGAATAAATAAATAACGAAACGTCGGCTTTCAATAAAATAGTTTTACCACTATTTAGCATATTTATGACCGCCACTTCGGACCATCTCCTTCCTTTATAAATAAATAACTTAAAATATGAGTTTATCTCATAAAAAAATTAAAATTGAACTTCTGTATCACTATTACCAATATCCTTAGTTGTGACAAAATGATTTTTTTTTAAATATATATTTAATGAAATTTACAGCTATATTAGATAAAAAAATACAACTAGTGACTTTTAATTGGTAATATTGCATGTACAACACAAAGAGATTCTACCTATTGGTAGCATTCCAATTATAGTTCTATATTAGAAGGTCCCGAGGCCATCTTCTTCTCAGACGCCTCGGAGGGCTATCAAGAAAATAAGAAGAAACAAGGTTAGAAACGAGAGGATTCGGGTGGTTCAAAAGTTTATTATGGAAGGATAGATTTTTAGGTCGTTATGGATCGGGGGCGGGGTGGCCGAATAGGCTAAAGCGTGTGTAACAGCACCGCTAGTTGCCTGGCAACCGGATAACAGAGATTTGAGATGATATAAAAAGTACGAGTTCGCGTCCCGGTGCCGGAGGAGATTTTAAATTTCCCCGCCCTCACCCCCCGGCCCAGGAAAATCCCGTATAGCCTAAAAGGCGAGGTAGGGAAGAAAAAAAAAAAAAAAAAAAAAAAAAAAAAAAAAAAAAAAGGTCGTTATGGATCATTTTATTAGTGACAAAGTAAGAAGCATTGAGGATTTTTACGAATTATTTTGGATTGTAAGGATTTGATATGAGAGGAATTTGGTGGCTCAGTGATGTCTCATAGCTCAACTCCGTAAGTCCAATTAGGTCTTATTGTAGTCGTGTATAGGAGTCTTTTGTGATTAATTGGAAGCTTAGAGCGTTGGTCTAGTAAGTATTGAAGTAGTCGGAAACGTCGAAAGATTTAGTCTGGTATGAGGATTCTAAGTTAGACGTTTATCCAAGTGGAATCGTTGGTATTGGATTAGTTGAACAGTGATAAGTGTGGTAGTATTAAAGGATACAGAAGAATAGGAAGTGTAAAGGCGATTTGATCGGATTTACTGGAATTTATTTTAATCAATCCAGTTTTGACACCAATCTTCTAGGTTTGTCATGTGTGATTGAAAAGTTTAAATTCATAATTCAATTTGATTGAAAAACATAATTCAATAAAGAAATGTTAAAATTTAAAATGAAATAAAGATTATACCATATGATATAGTGAAGACCAAATCGTTTATTAAGAATAAAAGCTCTTTTTTTTTTTATTTTGAGCCAAATGAAGTCGATTGCTTTCCTGGTTGTAGTGTAAAGGTGTGACAAATTGATTATGATGTGTTCGATTATTTCAATGTTTTCATATTACATGTTTAAATATTTTGTATAAAAGACGAAATATGTCGGTTTATATACTATATGGTCCATGAGTGGGAAAAGTTGGACTAATGTTGCTGACTGGCTACGAGTTATGTAGCAATATGCCCATAGAGGGTATGATCGTATCGCCGGGCAGCCTTGGCGACCTACATGTTGGCAGGGAACACCGCTGGCTGGCTGAGCCATCCAGGTGAAGGTCGCTTCTGCCAACTCTTTTCCACGATGGTTCGAGGAAACCTCTAGGAAGCTAAGATATAAAATTAATATTGCATCATAAATCAATATAATTAAAGCAAATAATAAAATATTATTGATTACATTTTATATATCTAATTAAGTTTAGGTTCAATGCCCGTGCATATCCAACACCTGAGGAATGTGGAATAGACTTCAGTTTAAGAGATTTATTTTTTTATATATTTATTTATTGAATAATATAACAATCTGCCATATAGGCATTGCTTATATGGAGGTCAGATAACATTCACACAATATGTACAAAAATAAAATAAAATAAACAGAAACATAATTAAATAATAAACAAAATTATATACAATAGAATAAAATAACTTAAAGCTAAGTAAATTAAAGAGAAAAAAAAACACATGCATACCTATTTACAATCAGGCGAGGGAACTCTGAGGCAAGCTTGTCCCTCAAACTATGGAGGGAAAAGTTGAACTCAAGGAGATCCCGGCGTTACTCTCTCAACCGGTTCACTGGTATTAAAGCCAGTGGAAATTGATCGAGAGCGCTTTAGCCACATGCTCTCATGTCTTGAGCGGAGAATCTGGCTATTGCCAGAACTCCAATTTATATAAACTACAAAAGATCGCGGGGCCACTGCCGTTTTAACCTTCTTGAAGGATTATAGGGATGAGTGGTATTGTGAAATTTGGAGAATTTTTACGGGATAAGGTCTAGGCCAAATGGATCATGGCGTAGGGTTTTGTTGGTTACATTGAAAGGAGCATCGACTATTGTTCAAAAGACTGACAGGATTCGATTGGTTGGTTTAGTTATTATATTTATTAAGTGACGATTTATTTATTTTATTAAATAAATTATTTAAATATAATAATAATTAAATAATGATTCTAATGAAAATGAATATATGTAGTTATTTATATTTGTTTGGTATATATAATTTTTTTAATAATTATGTTACGTTTTCTGAGAGCACATTTCGAAAAAACTCCCACATCAACAGAATGGAACCACCGCTTTCGCCGTAGAAGGTTTGTATTCTCTCTTCTTCTTGAGCACATCTGCTGATCGCTTTGTTTGCCGAACCATTTGTCATCCCTCTGAGGTCACCAGCACGGCTTTGATGAAATAATCTCATTGTCGCAGGCTTTTCATCATTCATTTCGGCTCATGGTCGTCACACTTTATCTTTTAATGAATGTTTTCCAGTAAATTATTGCCATGAGTTATGAAATACATCATTTCATTCCAAATACGAGGCACAGTGCTTCGAATATGTGGATGTTTTGCACAAAAATCTATTTATTATAGAATCTTAAAAGAAATAGCAATCATTACCATCATGACGATCTGACAAATAACCCAAAAACCCGGAATGCAATTTATACAGAAATGTTCTTGAAATCATATGCGCGAATATCATAAAAACAATGTAAATAACGGGTTTCCCTCCCTTTTTTTTGGTTATTTTTTTCAGTAATGAAACTTTTAATCAACCGAGAAAAAAACCTTCTCAAGGTTGTACGTTACAAGATGCCGTAGAATTTAAAAATGGAATTAATAAAAAATCCATAAGTCCGCGGCTTTTCTATGAGACTACTGGGCCAATTGTTTTGATATTTAGTATCAATCTCAGAGATCACCAAGTCGCCATAACGGCTGTTGAGGTTTTAATGAAAGATTTATGTATATAACATACCCGAAAGAAGCTAGAAAGAAATTACGATGAATGCAGAATTTTATTCGCGAATAACTGATAAATTATACACCTACAAAAAGTTGTCAAAATTGTCGAAATCAGATGATTTAGTGTATATAACGTTGCAAACGTTTAGTACAAAGTTTGTTTTTTATCTTATTACTAGAAAACTTTACATTGCTTTGAGATCCTTGAAGTAATTCTAGGTTGCTGAAACTATCAAGTTATCCACGGCTTACAAAACCGGGACTTGGAAGTTAAAAGTGATTTGTGGAGTACCACATGCATTAGAATCCAGGGCGAGAGAATGGCAGGCATCGCTACTTATAAATCTAATTAAGATTGAGGTTAATGTACGATCTATACTTTCTAAATCGCCTTTTAAAGTAGAGAAGATAAGCTTTTTTTTGTTTTTAATTTTAAAAAACTTGCGGATGTTAGCTTTGACTTTGGCATTTAGTTCCATTAGAGGCTCAGCATACATTTTTTTTTTTAGAACAGGATGCTCCTTTGTCAACTTCTTCAAAAATAAATGGATGAATTAGAAGCTAGTTGTATTTTAACTAGCAGTTTTTCTATGGAACAACATATTTCTGATAGAAAAACATGAGTAAATTACAACCAATAGCAATCGTTGAATACAGTTATGGTTATTGCAAAATGACAATCAATAATATTTAATTCACTATACATTATTTTATTATTAACAATTTTGAAAATATGTCTAAGTAATGTTTTTTGCCTATGGCGCCAAAAAAACTATGAGCCGCTAGTGGACAGAAAAAAACTTTCAGCTCAACCAAATCTACCCTTAGCGTATATCATATTTTTATGTGCGTGTGGAAGAGATGCATTGAATTCTGTCAGCGCAGTAAAGGGGAGGGAAATACAAGCATAATCATTGAATTCATTACAAAGCATTGGTTTTGTAAATTTAATTTGAATTTTATTTATACTTAAATAAAATTAATTTCTTGTTCACAAAGTCTATTTATCAGTGTCAAATTTTTCAACAGTGAAATTGTAACACTTCTTCTTCTTCATGGGCGCAACAACTCATCGCTTAGTCTTGGCCTCCTCGAAATTGTAACACAGCTACCATAAATCAAAACATCAACTACAAAAAAATGGTTGGTAAGGACACAAGATGCCGGAAGCCCTTCCTCAGGCTTGAAATGGGATTCCCTTGTTAGTATTTTCTTCACATGGACCCAAACATCTGTTGGGAACCCGAAGGTACCCAATGGGTGCAGGTTAGTACCCAGATGGCCGAGTGGGTAGTGGGTAGTCGACCCACACGTGCGTTGCGAAATACTGACTTTGACACTGTGCACTATTTATTAGTCTTAGATTATGCCTTTCTAAGAATTGAACTTAACCGTACTTATGTTGTTTAAAGTTTTTTTTTCATATGCACCATTTTTTAAAAATATGTATCTTTGTTAGTTGTTGAATATTTTCTTTTCTTTTTATTTTATTTATTTATTTAGAAATATAATAGTCTGTCACGTGGACAATAATTATAGTGATATATGAACACATTCACACCATATATACAAAAAATATAAAATTAACAAAAGTGAAATAATACATACTAATAATACATACATAAAATAATACATAACTAAATAATAATAATAAGTTATGTACAATAAAAATAAAATAACTTAAAGATAAGTAAATTAAAAACATAAAAACACAGTCATACCTATGTACAATATATACAATCAGGCAGAGAACCCCAAGGTAAGGACACACGGCTTCTTCCCTCCCACTATAGAAGGAAAATTAGGACTCCAAGAGATCCCTGCGCCACTCTCTCATCCGCTTCACTGGTGCGAAAGCCATTGGAGTTTGAGTGAGAGCGCAGATACTCCAGATATATACTAGAAAAGATCTCTGGGCCACTGCCGCTTCAACCTTCGAGGAGGATTGTAGAGATGAGTGGAACTAGTTAGGGGTTCTGATGAAATTTGGTCATCATGATGTAGGGTTTTGTTGGTTACATAGCAAGGAGCATCGACTATTGTTCGGAGGACTTTGGACGGAAAGGATTGGATGCGTTTGATGTCTAGAAAATTTTGCAATTCCCCAAAGTGTTGACGATTAACATTTATTTGTGTGTTATTTTTAAGTTATCACTCCGTTGATTAGGGGTTTACTGGAATTAAAATTTTAAAAAAAGCAATTAATTAATTAAAGCCCTTCAAAACCATCTCTATGATCTTCAAAAATGGTTCGAAAAATGGAAAATTAAAATAAATAAATCCAGCCACGTGAATTTCTCTTTGAGGAAAGCCTTCTCATATTGTATTTCATTGGTCCACAACTAATAGGATGGTTCCTATTGCTAAAAATTTAATTACATTTTAAAATTTAATTATGTAAAAGATCGCGAATCTTGTAATAATTTATAAAATTACATCACTTATAACCATAACCACAACCTTTCCAGGTTACACAAGTTTCGAAGTATCATTAAACTATTTCAAAAGGAATGGAATCCAAGGGAAAGTTAGCGCCCACATTTTGAAACTGTCATCTTATATTGCAGTCTGTCTCTCCGGAAATTGTTAAGGATATTCCACATAAATTTTCAGCGGTCTCGTAATGTCGCATTTACATTTTAAAACTATCTACTTCACTTAAAATGAGGTCATTCTAATTGAACGAGTTGCACATTATAATTATAACAGCTAAGATAAAATAATGTGCAACAAGTATATTAATAATTGAAATTTGCTTAAATACTTGTTTTATAATTCGTATTAAATTTACTTAAAATTTAATAGAAAACATAGTTTCTTTTTGAAGTGAATACTTCGTTAGGCGCGTTTTGCACTTTTTTTGTGGAGAGTGAATTAGATTTATCCGTCAGATTTCCGAAATGTTAACGCTCTATAAAGTCGGCTAGAGTCGTCTAATTCAAATGTTTTTACATATGGGTTAAAATATCTCAGAAAATAAAAATCGGGTCTGCATACTGTAAGCGAGGAAATCGTTCAGCATTTCTTCCTCTCTGTAATAAGCTATAATTCAAACTTGTATCTTAACGCAACGCCGTATTAGGGAATAGAAAAGGAAAAAATAGTGTCGAAAACCATTATGATGATGAATTTAGTTGAACATATTGATAAAAATATTTCAGATACCAAAAATCGGACCTGTATACTGTAAGCGAGAAGAATATTCAGCATTTCATCCTCTTTGTAATGAGCTGTTATTCAAAATTGTATCTGAACGCAACCCCGTGTTAGAGATTAGGAGAGGGAACAAGATAGTGTTGAATACCAAATGATAGCGAGTTTTATAAAATTTATGGATTAAACTATCTAAGAAACTAAAAATCGAATCTGCACACTGTAAGCGAGAGAAATGTACAGCATTTTATTCCCTTCAATGAGCTATTATTTATAACTAGTAGGCCCGCGCGAAAAATTCGCACAGCATATTGTTATCAAATGCCAAATTAATAAGAAAATAAAATAATGCAACGTATCAAAATATAAAGAAATCAATTGTTACTTTATCGATAAATGTAATCGACAAAGGAAACAAAAATTAATTTAAATCTTCATTATCTTTCTAAAAGCCATTATCTTTCTTACTCACATCTATAATGCTATCTTACGCACAACTTACTTCCCTCTCCTTTGGAAACTTTCTACAATAAAAATGATACCTAAGCCTTCTAAACCTACCAGTAACCCTTCTTCTTATCGTCCGATTGCACTCTTACCCATAATGGACAAAATATTTGAAATATTATTTCTTCTTAGAATAAAGCCAATCCTAGAAAATCGGGAAGTTATTCCGAATCATCAATTTGGCTTTCGTTTTTACCATTCCACTGTACAACAGTGTCATCGTATAGTAGACGCTATCTCAGTCGCCTTCGAAAAAAAAGAATTCTGCTCAGCGATATTCCTGGATATCAAGAAAGCGTTTGATAGCGTCTGGCACAAAGGTTTACTGTGGAAAATAAAACCACACCTTCCTTCAACTTACTTTCTGATTCTTCAATCTTTCTTTCTTGAGAGGTTCTTCTGTATTACTATTGATTCCTCTACTTCTCCCTTCTTTCCTCAACTTGCGGGCGTACCACAAGGTAGTGTTTTAAGCCCTCTTCTATTTTCTATCTACACATCTGATATCCCTGAGCACCCTAGCACCATTCTCTATAGCTTTGCTGACGATACGGCAATACTTTCTTCTCACGAAAATCCCACTATCGCTTCAATAGCCCTTCAAAATCACCTGCACGTCCTTGAAAAATGGTTTCATAAATGGGGAATTAACATCAATCCCAGCAAGTCAACTCATGTTAGCTTCTCCCTGAGGAAAATCTCGTGTCCTGCTGTGACAATAGACAATAAACCAGTTCCCTCAAAAACACATGTACGGTATCTCGGACTATACTTGGACAAAAAACTCACCTGGAACATTCACACTAAATTAAAAAA